TTTTTGCACGGCTTCTTGCACAATACTATGTTTAATTGTTTCAAAATGCTTGTACCATAATGCATGATTTGTAAAATAATAGATTTTGTAATACACATTTGAATCACATAACCCTCTCCATATGTGTACAGCTTTTCTGATGTAGTAATCTTGCTCGGTAGCTCACCTGGTACAGCACTGCTAGCCATAATAAAACAGTTCAAACACTTGTAAAGGCAGGGCTGTCCAAATTCGGTCCTGGAGGGCCGGTGTCCTGCAGAGTTTAGCTCCGACCCTAATTAAACACACCTGAACCAGCTAATCAAGCTCTTACTAGGCATAAAAATTTCCAGTCAGGTGTGTTGAGGCAAGTTGGAGCTAAACTCTGCAGGACACCGGCCCTCCAGGACTGAGTTTGGACAGCCCTGTGTAAAGGCAATTAAAATTGGAATGGTTGTTTCATCAAATGTGTTTTTAATCTCACGTTTGCTTTTGTTAACACTAGGTTGTAAGTTATTTTCAAATGCGATAGAGCATTAACTTTTAAGTGCCACTCACCGGGAAATTCATTTCCAAACTGCTGTGATATATCTAACAACAAATGGAATAATACATTTCCAGATTCACATGCAGCTGTTTCAAATAAAAATGAACACGCTTCCAAACATTTCACTTTGAAAGTATCAAACTATCAAAAGGTGCAAGAAGCAGTGTAATATCATTTTGCAGCAACGTCGCCAGGCACCAATGAGTTGTATTTGTTATAAAAGAAATAGAAGCTTAGAGACATTTAGAACTATAACTATATATCTGCCAGTACTATAATAAAAATTAAGTCGATTATTTAGCGGGAATCGACAACATTTACACAAAAATACTACAGTTAGTGCTTATAATGCAGTACAAACATAAAGGATAAGTCAGATGGCTTATCCCTTCCAAACGTTTTCCATAGTTACCTGTCAAACTAGCACAGTTTCTGCAGTTATATTACTACTGTAAAAGCATAATAAATAATTGTGGCCTTTTTTTAAACAGAGTATGAGGCTTTCAGAATCTTTCTGGCAAGGCACATGCTGTACCAGCCTAACCACAGTTTTATTGCATTAACAACTGCAGTAAGCATGGTAGGCTATTTCATTGTAAACTATAGTTACCATGGTAAATGTCTGTAAGGGATAATTAAAGGACTTTCAGATAGTCTTTGTCAAGGTACAATTAAGGCCAAACCTGCAGACGTCGTACATTTGAGTCTGCACGTGTGTTTGGATAACTAAAGACCTCGGCTCAGCTAACAGAAAATTACCTGAATGAAAGCACAGGGACTTTTTCTTGGCCAGCATGACTGATTTTATTTTAAATGAACTGTGGAATGTTACAAAATGGTTAAAAGGTGTTTAACCAGTTGTCAGTGTGTTGGGGAAGCTTTTAGGCACAGTTCACTTGTTTAACTTGGAGTTCAACTAAGCTTTATACACTATGCACAATGCTAACCAACAGTGCACTGGTGGTAACACTGAATGATAATGGGATCTTAAGAATTGATGACTGTACTAATACAAAACAAAACCATCCATATGCACATTTACCAAATGGATTATTGCTCCATGATTCTCCTAACCACTGTGACAGACAACAACATTTGGTGTTATTGTTGCGACGGCCAATATGATGAACGTAGGCAATGAAACAATTTTAAGAGTAACTTTGGGAATTGAATCAATCAGAGCCTGCCAGTCAGCTGTGGTTGAGATGAACACAGTGCTGGATGTGTTAAACAGTATTCACAACATCACCATTGATTGTATGTGCATTTAGAGTACAAATACACTATTGGTGTAAAATTGTTGTAAAGGTTCACATGTATAGATGCAAAAGCCCTCTTTAAAACACATTTTTCACACTCTCACTAGTTTAATATACACTACCACTCAAAGGTAATACTGTGAAATATTTTATTAAATAGAAAGCTCAAAAGAACAGCATTTATTTGAAACTATTTTTGTAATCGTGTAAAAATCTTTAAAGGGGTCATATGATGCGATTTCAATTTTTCCTTTCTCTTTGGAGTGTTACAAGCTCTTGGTGCATAAAGAAGATCTGTAAAGTTGCAAAGACTAATGTCTCAAATCCAAAGAGATATTCTTTATAAAAGTTCAGATTCAGCCACACCTACAGAACAGTTTAACCCAAATATCCAGATGTGTGCAGCGCATTTTATGGAGGACTGTTTACTTATCCTGGGAGAGTAACATTACACTAAAATGCCGGCAGTTCTGGTCATTTAAAGGATTTGCCACTGATGATTCAAACGCGAGTTTTGAGCAGTAGAGTAGCATTTGTTGTTTCTCTGATCACAAATGCAGACAAGAGTTTTATGTTTACGCGGCGCGATGTAATGCAACGCAATGCGTAAAAAGAAAGTATAAGTCATTATAATCAGTAATTATGTCCCCACTGGATGCAACAAATGCCTCGTTTGTAATGGGTTTTAATGTTTTTGTCTCGTCACTCCGGCCGGACACGGCATCAACAGTATGTGAGGGGCGTAACATTTCCGTCTCACGCTTGAGGTATTCGGTCAATCACAATGCATTGGATAGCTGGCCAATCACAGCACACCTCGCTTTTTCAGACCGATGAGCTTTGTAAAAATCAACGCGTTTCAAAAAGGCGGGGCATAGAGGAGAAACAATAATGTACAGTATGTGGAAAATAATGTGTTTTTTTTCACTTTAAACCGCATAAACACATTTCATTACACCAAATACACAAAATAATGTTCTTTTTAGCAGCATCATATGACCCCTTTAATGTCACTTTTGATCTATTTAATGCATCCTTGCTGAATAAAAGTATTAATTTATTTCCAAATCTTACTGAATCCAAACAGTAGTGCACTCGCTATCACTGTTCCAAACACACAAACCCAAACCTAAGTGTATTAACAAACCAACTACTATTTGCAAAGCAACTACTGAACCCAAAGTCAACTACTAAAACTACAAAACTACTAAAACCACAAAGCATAGTCAGCAGAGTCAGCACAGCCGAGTATATTATATATACTTTGTTAGAATGATCTGAAACATCTGCTGAAATCTCGTAAAAGTCAAATCCCTTTTCCTTATGTTTGTTATTGTCCCTGTATGGAGAGGCAGGAACTCAAGAGGAGGGAACTGATTGACTGGGTTACTTTTAGCTTATCAATGGAGGCTTTGACTTCACCCAGTACACAGCATGGCCGCCATTAGTCCTGTGTTAAACACTGGAGTCTTTGAGACAGAAGACTAATCACCTCAACAGACCGTAGATGGATACAGAAGAGCAAACTACAAATACAAAAAACTCAGTACACACACAAATACATGGGGCCCTAAAAACTGTACTGAGGAACAGTGTACCTTGGTACAGTGATGTTATCAGATGTTAAGATAATGTTGTTGATAAACCATAGTACCAAATCATAACCATTTCCAAATACCATGATACACACTACTTCAAAAGGTTACAATAGTTTTACCGTGAGGCATATCCAGTATCCAGTATAGGTTTGCTGTATGTTTTGACCAATCAATTTCCATGACCAGATATTCAAGATCAGTGAATTTTATTTTGATTTATTTACGTATTGCAAATGGATTGTAAGCACTAAGATGAATTTCAAGCTGACAAAACATCAAAATGTCAGAAATTTCAATAGCTTTTTTATCGTTTTATTCATTTCCATGATTTTTTTTTAAGCCTGGATAACACAATTTTGAAATGACCTAAAAATTCCAGGTATTTCAAATTAAGTTGGTACTGGTTGACTGTTACCTCCTCAAAAGAACAAAGTGCTGACACTGTACATATCCAAAAATATGGCATTACTATGGTTTACGTACAAAAAAACATGGTACATTATCAAAAAAGGTGGCATAACCATGATGTATTTATTTAAATTAGCATTGAAAAGTATAAAGTCAGTAAGTTTTTTTAAGGATGCATTAACTCAGTCAAAAGTGACAGTAAAACAAATAAAGACATTTAAAAAAAGAGATGTATTTCAAATAAATTATGTTCTTTTGAACTTTCTATTCATCAAAGAATCCTGAAAAAAAATATGTAAGAATAATTTCTGAAGGATCATGTGACACTGAACACCGGAGTAATGGCTGCTGAAAATTCAGCTTTGCATCACATTAATAAATAATATTTTAAAATATATTGAAATAGAAAACAGTTCTTTTAAAATGTAAAACATGTTTCACAATGTTATGGTTTTTATTGTATTTTTGATCATATATTAATGCAGATAAGAGTACATTTTGAAAGGTAGTGTAAATCCAAAAAGACAACACATTACTACTGCACATGTCCAAAAAACATGACGTTATGGTACTTATTCCTTTTACTTTTTTGTACTGTACCAACTGTACATACATGTTCATAGAGACATGCTTACACTGCAACTAAATGTGCACAATCATCTCAACCCTACACACGTCCTCACACACCAACATATACAATTTTTCTTCCAGACTTTACAGAGGGGTCCCGCTGCACCTGAAGGGTTGGGTGTGAACGCTGTCTTTCCTCCATTCTGCTTCCAAAGCAAATACTCATATTGGCAGCGCTATCCTGAGAGCTCTGTCGCAGAGTTAGACTTTAATTTGTAAAATACACCCATAAATGTCATTCAGCATAACCGCTCGGCCCCGGCCTTTTAACGCATGCTACATTAAATAGCATTAGACTCATATCGCATTCTCTCTTCTCCTTATTATTCCATTATTATAATTTCCTCTAACTTGCTACTGCTTTGGGAATGAAAATGCACCATTATTAATGTGTCACGCTAATAAGGCACATTTAAAAGTGAGAAAGAGGGAGCCCTGGCTTGCATAAGACCGACATTAAAAAGACATTAAACTCAGTTCTGAGGTGAATGCCCATTACCTGAGAAAATAATACAAAAGTAAGAGAAGTTAGACAGAGAGAGAGAGAGACTTGCAACTGTTAAACTTAAGCAAGCCTACCTGAAGGTCAAAGAATTTACTGTATCTTCTGTAGATGATGTGGGACGTGGAGTCAGAGTATGTGACATTGATGAGATATACCTGAAAAGAGAAAGAAGACCATTAGAATCTCTACAGTTTAGTTACACATTTCGGTATAAAGGATGATGATTTCACTATAACAATTGTTTCACTATGCTCTGAAATGTGTCAGAAAGCAGTTCATAGTGCAAATATGCAAATTTACTTATTCTTATCATCATTTATTGTTGATTTAGTCTTGTGCAGTTGTCTCAACCTGCATTTTTGAGTTGAGTTGAAACAGCAATTGCACGCATTCATTCAACTTTTAGCCTGGTTGAGGACAAAGAAACTTAAAATTTCCTGTTGTCTGGATAATCTATGGAAATATAGTTATGCCTACACAAAAAAAATATGTTGAAATAAAAAAAATCACAAAATTTTTTTTTTACAGTGTGTGACATTCTAACCTGCCATTGCTTGGCAAAAGCATATTTGCCATTAATTTTTAGGCCAAAGAAAGTGGGTTAAAACTCAAGAGCGAGATATGTAATGACATCACAGCACTGAGTGGTCAGGAAACGCCGCTGTATAGACAGGGACAAGTATTTCCTGCATGTATACAATTCCTAACAAATCCAGTTCTGTTGTCCTGCAACAGAAATAAAGATCAGACGTTTAGTTCCTCCACAAGGCCACCAGCAGACAGTATGACATCATGCGGAACCGAGCACTCATAGATGAGGGGAACTGCTGACCTGTTCACAGGAATTTCCCCCTGGACTGGTTACTTGCAGGGTGCCTCTGTCCTGCACCCGACTCAGCAGTGGATGGGACAGCTTCCTCTGTCTTCTAAACACATGACATTTGTGATCCGTCTTTCATGACACACTGCCATGTAAAGATCACTCCTAATAAAGACTATTGTTTTTGAGGTTTGAATGACATTGGGGAAAAAAAGAAAGAAATACTTTTTACAACTTCTTTTCATACTTAGTGGAGTTTTGTCCCTTGGCAGTTAATAAAATAAGCCAAAAAACATAAATAAAAAAAATACACAAAGCAATGGTCCTGGTAACCAGCCAAAACACCCTACCAGAGTTATTATTGTTAACTAAAACTGAAATTATTAAAAAAAAATTGGTTAATTGAAATAAAGCTGAAACAAATAAATATCAGATGAAAAGCACTAAAGTTACTAACTGGAAAAAATATATAATAATAATAATAATAAAACTGAAATAAAAATGAACTAAACCTAAAGAATATTATTTTAAAAAGGACAAAAGCACATAAGAAAATTACCAAAAAATAAACTAAAATTAAAATGAAAACTGAAAATATAAATAAAAAAGCAAATTTAACTGTAATAGTATATAAATAATATTAAAATAACACTACATCCTAAATATGTGCATGTAGATATGTATATTGGTATTCAAAAAATAAATCATGATTTTTAAAGTTCCCATTTGGAAATTGCACATTTTATTTTTTAAATAAAAAAATCACACCTCCTTGCAGTCTCACAAAAACATATGCAACCATGTTAACAAATCATTTACAAATCTATTTTATTATATATATTTGCATCTGTAGTTGACCTAGTTTCCAGTACCAATTAAAGCAATCCACAGCTGATATAAACAGATTAACTACCTGACAAATGATATTCTTTTCCCCTTTAACTATAAGACATTTCATTTACATTCAGCACATTTCCTTGCAGTGTACACTAAGTGTGTAATATTACAGGCTCATTTCAGCATGATATTCCAACCACAGCTCTCTAGCATCAAGCCTTCAAATAAATTGCCCCACCAATTATGGGCTGCAGGACAGTGTGTTGACAATGTCTCTCCAGGGTCTAAACTCAGACCCTCAGTCAAGCCTGTTCAAGGTCTTCTCTACTGTGAGCAGCATGTCTGAGCTGATCCTGGAGAGAGAAGTGTCTGGAAGCTGTATTTGTGACACTTGGGATCTAACAGATTTGAAGTTGTACTGTGATCTTTAGTGATCTCCTGTCAACCCCACAACATGCTGTATGAAGCACATAGTAATGTGTGTCTTTGCAGTGTAATGTGTATGTGTAATGGCTTGTTTAGGCCATAGATGTGAAAAATATAATACATGATTAAACATTGCCACATTTTTGCTCCGTATTGCATGTCTGTTTACCATGGTAACCACCAAAATACAAGTTACTCCATGCATTTATTAGTGATTTCTGCTCAGGCAGGCATCACTGCTGCTCATACATTTTTCAGAATGTCCAAAAACCCTTATTATTAAAATTCTGCACTTAACTCATCTCACACCACATGTGCTATAAACATGAATGAGACCTCAAATTGTGTGGCTTGTTGAGAGGAGGTGTGCTATTGTTTAAACAATTACATTTGCACCTGGCAAATGATAAATAGGGCAAAAAGAAGACTATTCCCTGAAGACAAGATGAAAATGCACTATTCCATGCATTGTCCTTTGAAAGAGTGAATGAAAATGAGTGAGTGAATTCGGACACTAAGTCCACCAAAAAGACGGCATCTTCTGACGAGACACAGGAATTCATTCAACGCTCACTAGTTTTATTCTAACATTCCCAACATTGTGGTACTACGTTTTTCACCTAGCAAAGCACTAGCATTAACCCAGCAAAACTCAGAGAAAACATGCTAAAACCCTAGCATTGTGGGACCAAGTTTTGCACCTAGAACTACCCTATAGAAATCACTCAGAACATCCCAGTAACCACGTAGTAACATGCTAATAACCCTAGCATAATGGAACCTAGTTTTGCACCTAGCAAAACACTAGCATTCATGCGGCAAAACACCCAGCAACCACATAGCGACAAGTTAAAATTGGGGTCCTGAGTTTTGCACCAAGCAAAGCACTAGCAATCACCCAGAATACCCCAATTACCACAAAGCAATACGCTAACACCACTAACACAGTGGCCCCGAGGTTTGCACCTAGACCTGTTGAAAAAAATCAGCTAAAACCAGCCTAAGCTGGTTGACTGGTTTTAGCTGGTCCTCTAGCCGGGCCATAGCTGGTTTGCAGGCTGAAGGGTTTTTTAGAAGGGTTTTGGCAACTTCTTTAGCTGGTCAGGCTGGTCTTTGCTGGCCAGGCTCAGAGACCAGCTAAAATCAGCAACTTCCCCCTTAAACCAGCTAAGACCGCCCAACCAGTCTGGTTTTAGCTGGTTTCTACAGCAAAGCACCCTAGCCACCACATAGCAACACGCTACCAACCCTAACGCTGCAGCACTGAGTTTTGCACTTAGCAAAAAGAAAAAATCTGAATACGCTTTATTGGCATTCAGATTATTAGATTTAGTTGTGGCACTGGAAATTGTAGAACTCAATATAAATTCAAGATACAGAATGTGCCATTAAAAAAAATTTTGTATATATATATATATATATACAGATTTACAGAGTTTACACAATTTATCACCCTGCACACACATTACAAACAGCCTTAACATTGTGGCGCTAAGTTTTGCACAGGCAGGCATCGTTGACATTTTCACCAGTTTATAATTTTACAGTACTTGCAGAAACTATGTTGACAGTGCTTAAAAAGAAAGAGATTGTTCTAAACGATATTAAACATTTTCCAATTCTGAAACACTGAAACTAGCAGTAAGCCCAGAGTACTGAGCAGACGGAGTGCGAGACACTTTCACATCTGTTGTGAAAGAAACTAATTTCAAATGGTAGCCGATACCGCAAACTTTTTTCCCACAGAATGTTTAGCGCAATTGAGTCTGGGCTCGATTATTAGACAAGCAAACCATTTGATTTACCTCATCTCCATAGCCTGTCATGTATCAAAGATTATGTCATGGACCATAAAGTGGGAAGTGGCATCAGCTTTTCTGTGGGTAATGAAATATGACTGCTATCATATGAAACAGGCAGATGTTTGTGGCGAAGCTGCAGACAGAAGAGGCTCTGACCTGTGCTGTGAGACAGACGGCTTACATGCTTGTGAGTATTTGCATTGTGCCAGGTTAAAGTGCCTCCTCTGTTAGCAGAATGGTGGGAAACGGCCTTGACTAAACCATCTCACGCTGTTTCCCACAGTGTGTGTGCAGCTATCCAAACAGATACATGCTTATCACACACTGCGTGCCTGGAAAAGTGTGTGAATGTGAGATAGAGTGTGTGAGAGGCTTTCTTTGAAAGCATGTGCTAAAAAGATACTCCATGTGTGTGTGAGTAACTCCTACAGGAGTTATTTAAAGACCCCTGACCGGACTGGCATGTATGGTTGCTGATTCTGCCCTTCTCTGCCCAACCGTAATATGTAATTTCACCACAGAGAGCAGCCTCAATCATCTCGTGTGTGTGTGAGATGCAAATTCATCACATTTCTGAGACCATCTTCATAGCAACCACAGTGGAAAACAGGATTGCTGAAAGCCCACGCCCAAAATATTAAGTGCAACTTCACTGTCCCAGAGAGCAAAAATAGCTCTGAAACAGAATAGACTAAGCCAACAGGACATCCACCACAAGTAAAACTTCTATATTAAACCATGTTCACAATGTTTATAACCTTTTCCAGGCTTTTTATTTTTGAAAATGAAAAATACCTGAAGGTTTTTGACTGAACATTGCTAATAAAACACTACAATGTTTTCTTTTCTGTCCATTGTACCGTCTCTGTCCCACTCAACTTGGTCATTCCATTTAAGTTTTTGACCTGCTGTTTAAAAGGACAGTTCACCCAATTAATTAAGCAACACTCTAGCAACTGCTTAATAACACCCTAGCAACCACCCACAGCATAGGATTGTGACAGTGGGTTTTTAACAGGCATCTTCTTCAGAAAATGTAAAAAGCTAGTCTAAATTTCTACTCTGTAACTACTAGGGCTGGGGATCGTTCAAAAATATTCGATACCGATACCGATACCTTGACTTCGATGCCAGTTCCTGAATTATACGTTTTTCGTTTTTTTTTTTTGCTCAAATAGTCTTCAGTTTATACATCTGTTAGGCTACATTTACACTAGTGCGTGTTCGTTTTAAAACGCATAGCTCAGACAGAATCATGATTTCTATTTAT